AATTTATTTGCAGAACCTCCCTGAAAACCACATATGTGATGGAAGCTGTAAAAATATAACTTTAATAATAATAATAATAAAGTTTTGCATATATCTATATGTACTTCTAATTCGCTGCAGATTTCTTTCAGCATTTTGACATTGAATTTTTTCAATTCGTTACGTTGGCGTAATTCACAAGTTACTTATATATTAACGCAACACGCAAGCAAGTTTATATGAAAGCAAGTTAATATCAAAACCGTGAAATTATACAAAATTTAGATATATTTTTTTTATTTCAGCTGCATGTGTTTTCACAAAAATTAAAAAGTCAAAAATCACCTGTGGAAATAGTCTCGCGGTAAATTTTCGGTGTGAAAGCAAACAATTCTCGACATGTTGCACGTGTTTTGACAGCCGAATTATTTAGCTGGTCAGCGGCTTCCGCCATAACAATAACAAAACGAGTAAAATTAAACGATGGAGGAATTGACTAGCATTGCCTGTTGACGAAGAATCACGATTTATATACGAGACTGTGTCTACAATAATCATTAAGATATCGAAAGTGATTAACACTAAAGAATAATGGAAGCTAACGAACGTCAAATAATAAGTCAACTGACAATCGGGGTCATTGAATGACAAGGCTATGATCGAGGCATACTTTGTATCAATTATATTGGGGTAGGTTTTCTCTTGACTTTCTAAATAAATCTTCAACATAAATCGATGTTTGATCATTTGTTTACTAACGGATGTCTTTACATGATGCAAATGTATAACTTGTCTTGATTATATTCAGCAAGAAAATGTTTATTATTTATACAATACGGTCCATTACGTCCATACATAATGGAAATGCCTGTGTCAGTGCTTTTCCCTAAAAGACCTTAGACAACAGTAAAGGTCAAACGAATGTTCATCACTGTTCTAGGTCCAATAATATGTAAAATTTTGCTCTTTCAAAGCAGAGTTTACAGTAAACATGAACGTTCTTATTTGCTCCAAACTGCCGAAAGTCGAAAATGTTGATGTTTTGTTGGCCTGTAGTACCTCCAAAATTTACAGGCCGCAATATTTTATTTTATATTATGTAAGACCAACCTTTAATCTCACCATACAAATAATATTACATTCATAGCAAGTCTAACTTTTGAATTTTAGGGTTTTTATTTCACCCATTTTTAAGGAACTTAGAAATTTCTATTTTAGTCTATCATGAATGATGTCATTTCTATATTTAGAAAACAAATTTGAAAAATTTATAGATACCTTGTTACTTAAGGCATATAAAGCTACTATTGTCTGGAAAGATTTAGTTTTATGATTATTTTTGTTTGATGTACAGAGGTTTAAAAATCAGCAAGAATCCACTATTGAGAACAGCAAAAATCGTAATTTTAGCCCTCAACTTGACCCCCCTGGAACTTTGCGAAAATGCAATTAGACTGAAAACAAAATGCATTTTGAAACAACCCATTTAAAGGCAATCTCAACTACAAAGTTTGAGAGAAATCTATTTGTTCATCCAAAGAGGTCATGAGGTTCTTACAGAGACTGCCTCTTAAACCACTAGAAAACAGGGCCGACACACACACGCACACTCCCTGATCAGAAATTGATAAAATTGTTGCTTGATACCCCACATGACAGAAAAAATGCAAGGGATCCTGATCGAGTAGATTGAGACAAGATTTTGAAATCACACGATTTATAACATGACTTTCTAAACGATTTTCTGTTGATTTATAATGCGATTTCTTGATTTCTAACCCGATTTCCTGATTATGTGGGTTACCGTTGTCATATAGACTGTGGGCTCAATAATAATGACATTTTTGAGTGATTTCTGACTTAAAAATTTACTGATTTCTCTTGTGATTTCGGGTTTGATTTCTGTTGATTTCTGAGTCTATTGTACATGATTTGAGCAGCTCAGCCGTTTCGGACCCTTCAATCCTGATGGAAATAACTCCCAATAACTGACTTTTTGAACCCCCTCATAAATTCCCATCTATATGGCCTAGGGGGTGCCATATTTAATATAAACTGATAAAAAACTTTGATAACATTTGGGATAAATGAACCACAAAGCACAATTAACAATAACAGGGTAAGCCCCTCTAATAATCAACCAAGAGTAATAAATATATGCAGAACTAGTTAAGCCACTGTAACTAATTTATTTGACAGGCTGTAAACTGTGGTGAAGGATTGAGTAGATTGGATCAGCGAGTATTGGGGTTAGTCGGTTTCCCATAGCCAGACCTTGACGCTGTTGGTAGTAAGATTTTTTCCAAGTGAGGCAGTTTTTTTCGAAGATAAATTTCGTGATTAGAATGATGTCATATACGGAAAATTGATAAAGCTGGATGTTGTTCTTTTCTTTCTTTCTTTAGATATAAGCTTAAGGTATCAATGGCTGCGTCGTTATCCACGCTTGAATACAGAGACGCCACATCCAGACTGAACAGGAGCTTGTTTTTTAACTTTCCATTCTTAATGCTTCGTAGGTTATTCAATAGGTGTTGAGTGCATCTAAGATGTGCTTTCACGAACAGCAGGAGAAGGTTGCATATCATTTGTATGAGCCAGGAAACTATATCGGCAGGACCACCACAACCCGAGATTATTGGTCGTACTTTGATATCATCCGGGTTGAAACTTGGTATATTGTTCTGGAATTTGTGAGCTTTGGTTAGCAGATAGATAACAGGACAATCACTGTGGGTCGTTTTTAATCTTCTAATGGATCTTTCGTTAACACGATTTTTTTTTGCAATGTATTCCCAAACTTCGTTGATCTTCGCTTCAGCTTTCTTCGTTAGATCATGGCATGGTCGGTAAAGTGATTATTTCCAAGGTGTTTCTCCATCAATGTGTTATCTAGATTACTGTCCATTACCACGAATTCGCCACCTTTATCGCTCACTGATATTCTAACCTCTCGGGCTTTCTTAAGTGTGGTCAATTCGGCAGGGTTTCTCTTTGGTTTCTGGTGAGGTTGGGAGGAACGTGACTTGTGTTTATTGATTACTTTCTTTACTTCGTGTTTCAAGTGTTGTAGTGACGATTCTAGATGTTGAAATTTTGTGTCTAGTGCTTTGCAGTATTTGTCGAAAGGGCAATGTTCAATAGTTTGTTCTACAGTATGGGAAGAGGAATTCTGCGTAGCCGTTGGTTGCTCATTTTCTGTTGTTGATTGTTCGCGATATATTTCTTTCCATCGTAGTCGATGTGCGAGTTTAGGCAATTGGACATTAATGTCAAACTCTGTTCGTTTGTTAATGGTTTTTATTAAAGCAACGAACTGTGGTCCCAAATCTAATAAGTTTGCTGTACGGTTAGATCTGATGTTGATGTTAATACTGTAACTCTTGGACATGACTCTAGGTTGTTATCGGTTGACGGCTGAAAAGTTATGTCAGAAACATTCGGTGCATTGCCATTGTGATTATTGCATGACAAAGATTCAAACCTACGTTCCAGTTTAATTTAATTTCTTTTTCTTCTTTACTTCTATCTTCAATACTTAGTTCATTCAATTCGATTTTCTTCTGCGCAATTTCATTTTTAATAAATTTCAGCTCTTTATGGTGTTTACGGATGCTGTCGTTGAGAATTGAAAATGTCAAATTGTTACTGTGTCACGCTATCGATTAGTTCTTTAATAGATTTAAAGATAACTGGATTATGTTGCTTATAAAATTCGGAACGATCTCGGTTTTCTTGCAGTGAGGTAAAAAATGTATGTATTGGATCTTCACGACATAGTTCATTATATTTAAAGCTGCGTAATCTCTTGCTGTTCGTAATAATCTCTTCTTGTAATCTTCTTGTTGTCATTTATACGTTTACGCAATTTCTCACGTGCGAATAACGGTCGCAAGCTTTAACGTTTATGCACGCGCACGTTAGTTTAAATTCAAATTGTAATCTTAACTACTTGAAGATGGAGTAAATCTCCGAAACGTCGTTTGTTTATGTAATAAACAAATTTTAAAAAAGCCTTACTGCGTGGTCTATATATATTAAACACAAAATGAGTTTTTACTTATGAATTTTCTCATTTTGCTTGGGGGGTGGGGGAAATTGGGGGGGGGGGGTAAACAACAGAGTGCCCGAGCAAGCTGCAGCAGGGGTCTGGGAGCACAGTTGCCAATGGGGGTAGGGAGCAAAGCCCCCAAGAAAATTTGAGATTTTTGGTCATATTTAGTTCAAAATCTTTATTTCAATCACACTACTGTCATTTATCCCAATGAGCATTAGTTTAACTTTTCATAAAGGTAAATCCTATATATAGCTTTTAGAAACCTGAATTTCAAATATATTTGAGATTAGGAGCATTCCCTGTACTCCCTAGGAAGCTTGGTTTTTGGCACTCATATTTGTGCCCCCATAAAATTGAGCGTGTTACAGCGGCCCATGCCAAGATTAGAAATCAAAACATAAAAAAAATGTCTAAAAAAGAACTATACAATACAGTGTGAGTGAATAAGTACTGTGCAAGTGCAGGACAAGTATAGCCCCCAACTTTCCTATGTGCTAAAGGGACTGAAAATTATATATGGTATGTTGAGAGATAAAAGTTCTCACTGGTTACAGTTTTTTAAATATAAATTTACAGATTAGTTGGCAGACCTAAAAAGAATGCTGATTCCAACCGACTTAACTTAAGGAAATTGTTGCATTATGTTACAAGGTCACCCAGATGGCTACTCTTCTAGGGGTTTCTCGACCAACTGTCTACAAATTGAAGAGCAAGGTTTTAGCCATAAAGATCGATAATCTAGTATATCGGATAGTGAGCTGGATGACCAACTGGTTGGAATAAAAGTAAATCACCCAGGTGTGGGGGCCCAATGACAGCGGGAAATTTACGAGCGCGAAGCATCCATGTGAGACGAGCCGACTTGATGGCTGCGCTTGCACAGAGTTGATCCTGGTAGCGTTGTGGAGAGACGTCGATCACGTCTACGACATCGAGTATATGACTGTCCTTGTCCTAACTAGGTATGGCACATGGACGGAACCACAAACTTATGAGGTGGAGGTTTGTCATACATGTTGCAATAGATGGGTTTAGCAGATTAGTAACATTTGCAGAAACACCAAGTAATAATGAAGCAAGAACTGTATTAAATCACTTGGTATCTGCTGTGGAAACTTTTGGTTGGCCTTTACGAGTGCGAACGGACCGTGGAGGTGAGAATACAGACGTGTGGAGAAACATGGTCGCCGCAAACGGGGAGCAGAGTGGGATTGTGGGAAGTTCAGTTCGGAACCAACGAGTTGAAAAGTTTAATTTTGATATTAATGCAAATGTTACCAGACAATTTGCTGCTATTTTTCGTTATCTTAAATTTGAGGGGTGCTTGAGTGCTGCAAATGATACTGACTTGTTTTGCCTACAATATGTCTATACTTCACGTACTAACAAAGTTCTACACGAGTTTATTTCTGCACATAATCATCACGTTATATCAACAGAAGGTTCATGCACACCACGTCAACTTTTTCATTCCCACAGGCACCTCACAGAGCTGCATAGTTCATTCTTTCACACAGATCCCTATCCAACACTCAATGTTCAAGATCTATTGAATAATTATGGTTCCCTGCCGCATGTAGAAGTAAGAACACGAACCTGTCCATCGTCGGCCGAAAACTTCTTTGAGCTCCAATAAACAATTGACCCACTGGCAGTGTCCTTGATCAATGGAAACGACTTGTACCACCAAGTAGTCGAATCTGTTGCAACTTGTTTATTACAATAAATAAGATATTATACTAAACTTTTTGCCAATAAACATTATTGATATTTAACACTTTTTGTTTATGGAAGCACCACGTAAATTTATCAATGCAAAGCTTTCGATCCGTAAGCCCGGATCTTCGTCAGTGCTAATAACATAACTTGTTTAAGTCACACGCTCTTTTATACACAAAAGTGTCGTGATCTGTTGGCTCGCGTCATTTGAAATGGCATATCAACGGCATATCAACCACGGCATATCAACCACGTCATTCCAAACGTAGTGAAGTGATTCCAGTTAACGCGCGCGCATCCAGGACAAGAGAAATTAACAGTGGCGGCGCCAGGCTTCCAAATTTGGGGGGCATTTGAGGGGCAAACTCAAATTTTAAGGGGGGGCAAGATCGATTTTTTAAAAAGGTCGCCCCCCAGGAAATTCGCCCCCCCTCAAAACGTGGCGATATTCCTGGGAATATCGCCCCCGGGGGCGAATATCCTAGGAATATCGCCTCCCAGGGGGGTGGGGCGAATACCCTAGGAATATCGCCCCTCTTTAGGACATTCGCCCCCATATATGCGATGTGGTTTATTCAAATAATTTCGTGATACTTTCATCTTATTATTGCCTTACACGTTTGAGAATTTAACTCTGCAAAACTAAAGCTTTTTTGTCTTTTTTTGAAACGTATTATTGGAGTATTGGCAAGTTTTACCATTCGGAGATTTACAAACTAATATTGAAACTGTAAAAACAGTTTCATGTATACGCGCATTCACAAATGAGTAATGACAACTTATAAGCCATACATTTTCCGATAACGACAGAACACTTGTGTAGCCTTTAGTCGCTCTTAGTGACTAATAATTTTTTTGAGGGGGGGCAAAAAAGGGGCCAATTGGGGCATTTGCCTGGCGCCGCCACTGGAAATTAATTTTGCACTTTAAAGAGAGCACGTCACGTACTATCTAGTGGCTTTCCCTCCTGATCTATAGCATTATGCTTCTCAATTTCAATTGACTCTCTCATTTTGCGAGATAACTTATGACTATCAATCACCAAAATAGTTGCTTCGTCCCATTTTATACGATGGTCGTGAGTCGAAGTATGTTTAGCCACAGCAGATTTATCTTGCTCGGCTTTCTCGCAATTCGTCTTGTGTTCCTTAAGACGTACTGAGAGATTTCGACCACTTTCACCAATGTAAACCAAATCACATTCACAAGGAATGCGGTACACACCAGGTTACTGATATTCATTAACGTTGTCTTTATGTGTGCAAAGAGCTTGGAACACTTTTGTATATGAAGATCCGGGCTTACGGATCGAAAGCTTTGCATTAATAAATTTACGTGGTGTTTCCACAAACAAAAAGTGTTATATATTTTATTACCATGCAATCATACAAAGAACTTAATTATTGATATTGTTAAACATTTTTCAATTTGTTACCAGCAGTATATAATCGTAACAGTATTCCTTAAGTAAAAACAAACTTGCAAGCTTTGGCCACTAATACGTTTTTTCCATTTACCTAAAAAATTTCAATTTATAAGATCCTCGCACTCAGTGGTGGTTTAAAACCACAAGGAGGGATGGCATCTGCTCCCGTTGCGAAAATAAGCACATCTTCGAAAGAAACTCTTGCTTCCCCAGCTATATTAAAGAGAAACTATGATAAATGCTATTCTTATAGTGGAAATGAATAGAGAATGAATGCTTGCATGTCTGAATATGGAATTTATTTCTCGTGTTGAGAAGGATAATTCACTTGTTGGCGCATAATTTTTGTGTTTATTATATACTACGAGCTTTTACCCGCCACGGTACTTGATTTGCTTGTTGTTTGGTGAGTCAAAGCACGATAACCGTACATGTATGATTATCACAAATAATCGCACATCTGCAATTATCACGTTTCACAATGGCGGATTTGCCAATAAAACTGACCGTATATTAACACTGTATAATGATCGCAATAGTATTTGCCAATTCATTACAGTTTAACACATGGCAGTTTAACGTATTGAGGATTACTAAAATCAAGGCGGACCTGAACACTGACTGTACTGTGGTTTTCGACAAAAAATAATATATAAAATCAAAATAAGACAATACACCCTTTCGATAATCCGTCACGCATACTTTTCGGTCCTGGAACCTCACTCTCAGTACATTACACAAGGTGATTGACTCACGATTCATGGAAGCGAGGCTACCAGACCAAATGACGTAATTATCGAAAGGGTGTATTATTTTACTTGTCAAAGGAGAGTGTCTCTGGTACAACCAGGCATTAAATAACCAGATTCTATACTGTACCTTCGCAATCTTGCAGAGACGTCTCTCCAGTGCATAACTATAAGTTCCTGTATCATGCGTTTCTTGCATTGAACTACGATCAATCAGCGTTGGCGGCTCGTTTCTTTCGTTAACACTTTTGCGATTATTAAGCTTCTCCTTACAACGCCAAGCATGACGACCAATGCTCTTAAAGTCTACGTGGCAATAAGAGCAAACCACCGACACGAGGAGCCAGAATAATACCGTTTTCATCATGAAAGACAGGCAATTTCGTCCCAGACTCAAATAGACAACAAGAATACAAGAAAAGATCCAGTAAAAATTGAAATAAAATCTGTACCAGATAACAAAATCATTAAAACCTTAACACGCTGCAGGAGCGACCAAAGACACGCCCGACTCCCTCGTGGGCTTAATAGTAATAATAATAATAATGATGATGATGATGATGATGATGATGATGATGATGATGATGATGATGATGATGATCATGGTGATGGTGATGGTGATGGTGATGATGATGATGATGGTGATGGTGATGGTGATGGTGATGATGATGATGATGATGAAACGTATCCCTAACAATTGTTCCTTTTAGAATATCACTATAGCGGGAAATTTGCTAGATTAAGCGTTATGAGCACATAACAATTGGACTTGGCAGAAGCACTAGGGTGTGAGCATGTTATTTCAATAGGAAAAAACATTTAAAGTTACCTAATGCGTCATGACAAGAACGATTTGTTTCGCCATAGTTTTTGCATATATTTAAACCCCATACTCGGAACACATGTAAATTATGTTGGGTGTTCCGATTTATGAACGGAACAGCAATAAAAAAGGAACAAATTGTTCCTACTTCAATTTGGTTGTTCCGTTTCTAATATGTTCCGCAAAGCGGAACTGATTGAGAACAACTCGTATTAGGAACACTTAATCTGTTCCTTTTCATGGTTCCTTTGCTTAGGAACAAAATGTTCCGCGAAGCGGAACATTAATATTCTTCGACTAGGTTAGCAAACTGGAACAATTTATTATGCACATATTGCTAGCTTCCGTTGTTCCGTTTTATTGTTCTGTTTTATTGTTCC